AAAGGGCCGTTCCCCCTGGCTTGTGGGACAGGGGCAGTTTTCAGACCCGGGAGAGAGAATGGATGACCCCCTACCCCAAGGCAGGAGCTGACCAGGGGCCCCGAGGACCCCGGGTGTGCTGAACAGGTCACTAGGGTGGGGTGGGGGTGGGGGTCTCGGGATCATGTGGCAAGGCCTCCTGCCCAGAGCTGTCACCCCCACGGCATCTCCCTGGGTACAGGACCCGAGTCCACTCACAGGGACAGGTGCCCTGAGGAGGATGTGGGCAGATGGGGTGGGAGTCTGGGCTGGAGGGGTGAGAGGGGAAGGGGCATCCATGGGGCAGAGGCCAGGCAGCTGGTCCAAGATGGTGTGGCCCCAAGGTGGCCCAGCTCTGGGAAGTTTGTTCAAAAGGCCTCTGCGTATCCACAGTGTGTGGGCGCCCACTGCAAGGCCCTGCTGGACGTCGGCACGGCCCTCACTAGCCCCTGGCTGTGGGCACTGGGCACCGTGCTGCTGGCTGACTCAGGCCCGCTCTCCCTGCAGAACGGGGTCATGTCTGGACTCATGCAGATGCTTCTGCTGAAGGTGTCAGCCCACATCACTGAGCAGCTGGGCATGGCCCCTGGCGGCGAGTTCAGGGAGGCTTTCAAGGAGGTGGGCCTGGGCCCGGCCGGGGAGGGGGCTCCACCCTCGGGAGCTGCCCCTGGGGCTCAAGGCTCCCCAACCGACACCAGCCTCTGCCCAGGCCAGCAAGGTGCCTTTCTGCAAGTTCCACCTGGGCGATCGGCCCATCCCTGTCACCTTCAAGAGGGCCATCGCCGCACTCTCCTTCTGGCAGAAGGTCAAGCTGGCCTGGGGCCTGTGTTTCCTGTCGGACCCGATCAGGTAGGACCACTCAGCCTCCTGACAGGCGTCCCTCTTTTTCTTGGGCTGAACCTCCCCGCCCCTTCCTTCTGCCCTGATCCCAGATAGAAGGTGCCCCCGCCCCTGCCCGGGGCCAACAGCACCAGTGTCCTGCTGGCCGCTGCGTCCCCACGGGCTGGCAGTGCCCCTCTGCCCCCAGCAAGGATGATGTGGAGCGGTGTAAGCAGAAGGACCTGCTGGAGCAGATGATGGCAGAGATGATCGGCGAGTTTCCGGACCTGCACCGCACCATCGTCTCCGAGCGCGACGTCTACCTGACCTACATGCTGAGGCAGGCCGCCCGCCGCCTGGAGCTGCCGCGCGCCTCCGATGGTGAGGCCCGGCTGCCGGGCGGGCCTCTGGGGATGGGTGGGACGGGCAGTCACTGAAGGGTTGCTCCCCCTACAGCCGAGCCCAGGAAGTGCGTCCCCTCCGTGGTGGTGGGTGTCGTGGGCATGGGCCACGTCCCCGGCATCGAGAAGAACTGGACCACTGACCTCAACATCCAGGAGATCATGACGTGAGTGCCACCCACCCACTCCTCGCGCCCCCACACGCAGAGCTGGCAGCCGTGCCCGGACTGGGGGCTGGGGATCACGCATCCCCGAACCAGGCCCAGCCCACCCTCCCTCCCCCAGCGTGCCCCCGCCGTCCGTCTCCGGCAGAGCGTCCCGCCTGGCCCTGAAGGCTGCCTTCTTGGGCCTCCTGGGCTACGGCCTGTACTGGATGGGGCGCCGCGCCACCAGCCTGGTCCTGTCTCTGCCCGCCGCCCAGTACTGCCTGCAGAAGGCGTCCGAGGTCTGGCCGCGCAAGTAGGAAGGACAGAGGGAGCCACCACACCCGAGAGGACCGCCACAGTTGCTCCGGTGTCACAGCCAAGGGGCTCCTGGGTGCCACCCGCCATGGGGGTCCAGTCCTAGCCTCGCCTGCCCTCCCTCAACCCACCCGAATAAAGAATTATTTAATCGTCTGAGCGCAGGCTTCCCAGAGCCCCCACCGCCCCCTCTGCTCAGGGCCCTCAGGAAGGTCACGGCGGCAGGATGACCTGGCGGGAGAGGGGCTGAGGCTCCCCCACACCCTCTGGCCCCAGGTAGAACGTGTGGGCCACAGCCGGCCATCGCTCACCTCACTGTGCCTTCTCTCCGCCAGTAGGGGCTTCTCATGGTGGGTTCTGGGCCAGCATGTTGGGAAGGGCAGGGTGGCCCCACAAAGCCTCTGGGTGCGGCTCCTCGGGGCACCCCCCGCAGAGGGTGGCTTGGCCAAGCTTGGCGGCCCTGGATGTGCGCCAGCAAAGCTCTGTCTGCAGAGATTGTGTTTTTGGCTTTTAAAAATGTCTGAAACTTTTTTACTCAGGTAATTTTAACTTAAAACAAACTGAAGCAAATGTCAGGAAATACAAGCCTTAACTCCACTTGGGGCAAAGAGAGCATCTTTGTCTTAGAGTCTCAGCTCCAAGAGGACGAGCGTGTGGAGAGGGTCGGCTTGGGCCGCAGGGAGCCAGGCCGGCCTCCTGGCAGTGGGGCCGGGGTTGCAGCCCTCTGGGGCATGCGCCCACCTGGGCCGCGGTGGATCGAACCTGCTCCCGGTGCGTCCGGTGGAGGCACCTTGGGTCGCCCCGCCCTCAGTGGATGGACGGCCAGTGTCCTCGGGGCCCTCCACCGTGCATGTGAGCCCACCTTGGGCTGGGACTGGTTGGCCCAGGACCAAGCTGGCCCCACACAGCATTTCCACCCATTCATCGCCTGTGTGCGCAGTCTCCTGGTCATCTGTTTACGACGAAGCCTCTGCACCCGGTCTGGGGCCCAGGGTTCACATCTGATTGTGTTTGTGTTGACTCGGTGTCTGCCTGAACCCGGTGAAGCCCACAGCATGCGCTGGGGGGCCTCGGGCTGGACCGTGACTGTCGTTCGCACGCTCGTGTGTGCGCCTCTAAGAAGCTGAAATAAAGCCTACTTTTGGAAGCCTGTTTGGTGACGTGTGTAGATGGGACTCAGTGGCAAGGGCAGGGCTCCCCAGGCCGTGGGCCCAGGCTGGGCGCACCCGCGTCCCAGTGTGCACCCGTGCCCTCACCCTCGGTCCCCGCCCTGCTCAGCCCCCAACCCTGGCATGTGGGAGGGGAGGAGGTGGGCGAGTCCAGCAATCTAAACGAAACTGTGGGGACCAGTGGCTAAGATTTTCCCAGAAGGACGACAGCGAGCCTGGAGTGGGGCGTGGGCCGTTCCAGGGGCGCAGCAGGAGGCTGGCGGGGCTGGGGGCCCCTTCACCGTCTCTGCCCCAGGAGGCCCAGCTCTCCCTTCATGCTGGGTCTTCCGCACTCTCCTGCCTCCTCTGCCCTGGGCCAGCACTGATGGCTCGCAATGGGCAGGGGGCTCCTGAGCCTCCCGAGACTGAGGTCCTCTCCACAGGTCCAGGCGGCGCTGCTGGAACCCTGAGGCCTGGCTACATGCATGGGAGAGGGAGGGCCGGCAGGCACCCACAGGTCTGCACCCTGCAGGCCTCTCCTGGCGAGGACCCGCCTGGGTCCCTGCCCCCAGTGGTCTAGGGAGGAGGGCAGAGGACAAGTCCCTTCCAGTCCCATGTTAGGAGAGGCCAGCTGGGCTGGGGAAGAAGGCGGGACAGCCCAGGTAGACCCTCCAAGGGCAGCAGGTGAGATCCACGTTGGACCCATGGGGGAGAGGGGGTACCTGGGGGCAGCAGGAGGAGCCAAGGAATCAAAGGCCTGGCAGAGGGCTGGGGGCTGGCACATGCTTGGAGCCCAAGGGACAGCCACTTCCAGAACAGAAGAAGCCTGAAGTGGGTATGGCCTGAGGTGAGGCGACAGTGGCTGGCCGACAGTTTATCATCTGCTGGACTGTCCACTGGCCCTTCTTGGGCTCTGGTCCCGGTCACCTGGAGAGCACTGACCTCCTGGGACGTCTCTTACAGGGAGGGGCTGCTCTCAGATCTGGGTAGAGAACCAGAGGGGCCCCAGGGGTGTGTCCACCGTCCGGCCAAGGGAGCCAGCACCGCTTCCAGGTGAGCAGCCTGCAGCGTGGGGGCTGCAGAGACAGCTGGCATGCCGCTGTGGCAGAAACAAGACACTACTGTTCGAGGCTGGCAGGGCAAGGGCCGGCCGGGCACTTGCCTCCCAGAGGCCATCCTCAGCCCACTCACACCTGGTAGGGACATGTTCTCTGAGGTTGTCTACAGTCAGGAAGAGCGAGGGGAAACTCAAACGTCCACCTCTAAGGGAACAAACAAAGACGCCTAGGACACAAGTTAGGTACAAAATTATATGCATTGAATTGTGGGCCACTGGCCTGAGGCCTGGGGAGTTACTTTGATATGCACCCTATTTCTGAGAATTGGAATTTATTACAATGCAAGTTCGTATTATAGTGACAAGCAGAAAAACAAAAAGGTTTCATTTTTTCAAATACACAAAGTGCTTAGGGGAGAGTGGACACCTCTCTCCTTTTAGACAGGAGTGGAGGCCTGCATGATGTGCCCAGGCACTGCCAGCACAGATGAAGGTGACGTGCCGCCCCTGCCCCCAAGTTTCCTGTGACGTGTATGACAGTGGTTGGACAGTGATTCAGTCGCGGACAGGGGAGGCTGCTGGATTTTGAGAGGTGCTGGCAGGAGTACAAATAGCTTCAGAGACTTGGGAGGGAGGAGGGCTGTACTGCCTGAGGGGAACAGAGAATGAGCGGCCAGGTATCCCAGGCCTTGTCCTAGGGGCCAGAGCTTGAGCCCCACCAAGAACACAGGGCAGGGGTGGCAGGAGGCGGCAAGGGACTGCCAGCAGGTGCAGACCTGAGCCTGGGTGCCTCTCTCCTGCAGGTGACCACTGGTTAGGGCTGGCGCACATCTCGGGCCTGACCACCCAGCCTGGCCTGCACACCAAGCTGATGGTGGACCTGCGGGACACGGACAACACTGTGGGCCCATTATGACAAATTCTGCGTGGACACGGGAGACCAGTTGTACCGGCTCAGTCTCAGCCTTTGCTTGGCACCGCAGGTGAGTGCCTGGGGGCTCTCGGGCAACCTCCCCGTCCCGCCCCCAGGCACCCTGCTTTGCTGACGTGTTTTCCAGGCAAGGGGCTAGAGGGAAGGAGGGGACCCAGAGACTCCAACTTCCCAGCCCACACCTGCCAGCCTTCATTCTCTGGGCAAGGATATTGCACCTCCCTTGGAGGTCCCTCATGGCTGGGAAACATCATGGGGGCGCAGCGCCAGAGGAGTCTCCGCCCATGCTGCCCCACGCGCAGGG